CCGTCGCCCTGCTTTGCCGGAGGCGCGGGCTTCGACCACATGTCGATGCCGCAATCTGCCAGAGCCTGTCAAACTTCGCGGCTTGTGCCAGGAGACCCTAAACCCTAAACCAAAAACCCTAAACTAACCCCCAGTAAGCCCAAAGCCCTGACACCAGCCACAAGCTCAAAGGAGGCGCCGCGCAGAGTCTGGCCCAAGGGGCCCCGAGGAGTGCGATGTCTTTCGTGTTTTGTTCAATTTTTTGTTTTTGTTAATTTTATTTGAGGGGGCGGGTAGGGTTTGGGGTTTGGGGTTTAGGGTTTAGCGAAAATCAAACCCACGGTTCCTTCTTGCAAGTGCGGGTTGGAAAATCCATGCTGTTTATCTATGCTCATTATAAATAGGCCACTAACACCACACCATGAAGCTGCACCACTACTATCTCCACCAAACAATCCTTGCACTGCCATGTCCTTCACATGATAGCGAAGGTCCCTTTACTGTGTTGGCATCCATTTGCTTTGCAAAGTATGGATACGCACAATGTTTTGCGGGCATCTTCGCCCCCTAAACCCTGAAACCTAAACCACCTAAACCACACACTTTAAACCCTACACCATCAGGCCAGAGAGCAAAAAGGTCACAGCAAGGCCAACGAGCAGTAGTAGAAGGTCCGGGAGTAGTACTTCTCTATTCCCTGCTCGCCCTAGGCATGACCCTAAGCCCTAAGCCCTAAACCCTGTTTGGGGACTCCAGGGTCTGAAGGATCAAGTGAAACAAGGGTGCATAGCAAACCCTGAAACCTAAACCCCTGATTTCATGCTTCTACAAAACTTCGGGCAGCAGAAAAGCTTAAGGTTCAACGTGAGGGTTGTGGGCCCCAGGCCTTAAGGTCATAACCCGTAACTCAAGAGTTCTGTTGGGGGGGGGGGCTACCTCACTAAACGCACTCAAGATGGAGAAGCAGATGCCCCACGCTACCAAGCTTCAGGGTTTCGGGCTTTAGGGTCCAAACCCGGAATCCAATCTTGGGCAGGGTTCAACCTAAACTAGACCGTCAGCCCTACCGCACCCCCTCTCAAACCTGGACCCTATACCCAAAGATCTGATCCTGGCCCGTGAAACCTGTTCCTCGGGTTGAGCCTGCGTCAAGCGCGAGGCGCGTCCCCAAACTCAACCTAACACTCCCTCCTCCCCAGCCAAAACGCCCTAGACCTCGAACCCAACAGTCCTACTAAGTTTTGGACTCCCCCCGTTTAAGTTTGAACCCGAAACCCTTTTTAACCGTGGGCCCCAAACCCTCAACCCTAACTGAAACACGCGATTCGTCCCAGGCACCTCGGGCCCGAGCCCGCGCGAGGACGAAGCCCCAGCTACGGCTGCGGAGCTCCCAGGGGTGGTTTCGGATCCCATGCAAAAACCCTAAACCCTAAACCCTAAACCCTACTTCCCAAACCCTAAACCCTAAACCTTAAACCCTATGTTGGACGGCTTGGGCGTGGGCAAACCGACCCTTTGGCGCGTATCATATGTAAAAGATATAGTTTACAATATGCAATATGATATATCATATAATACAATATATATCTATATATCACATATAATACATAGCATCTAGTATGCAGTATCTACTATATAGTATATCGTATGTCGTATATAGATTTTGTAGGTTATAGTATATATATATATATCTATATAAACATATATTACATATTGCATATTTATATACATATGTTACATATTGCATCTTGCGTGCCGGAACCCCCCCCCCCCCCCCCCCCTTCCCAGCCAAGTACAACCGATACGCGTTTCCCCCCCCCCCCCCTCTCCAATAGATACGCTAACCCCCCCCTCCCGGAAAGCACGCCGCTAAGCCGATACGCCGCTTCCCCCTCCTCCCCCGGAAATTGTACGCCGTTCGCCCCCCCCCGCCCCCCAAAGCCTCTGGGAAATATGCCCATGCGCCGATAAGCCGTTCTCCTCCCCCCCCCTGCCTTCCCCTCGAAATACACCAATACGCCGAGTCCCCCCCCCCCCCCCCCCCCCCCCCCCCCCCCCCGAAATACGCCGATACGCGACCCCTGCGGGGGCTTCCATCAGCAAGATTCCACGAGGAACAGGCGCAGGGAATACACAAGCACCCCTGACACCCGAAGCCGTCCAAAGCGCAAGCCCGGACGGCCTCGTGTTCACGTGACATCCTGCCGACGGAACCCTGCAGACCCCCCTCCACCCTGCCCCCTAGCCCTGGACCCTACACCCCGCACCGTCCGCCCGGCTGTGCTTCCCCTGTTGGGGGTCGGCGGCACTGGCGGTAGCCATTAAATCGGGCAGCGCGAGGTCCCCAAAGGACCGAGCAAATGCGGACCTTTTAGCCCGGGTCGTCCCGGGAATAGCCTTGCTGGCCTCTGGCCTTCTGCGAAGCAGAATTAGGCCGGACGCCAGTGCCGCCGACCCCCGCGTGCCGCCGGTGAACGGTTTTTTTTTCGTGGTTTTTTGCGTCGCCACGGAGGCCCCCAGAGGGCGCGCATCATGAGCATCAGCGGGTCCAGCCCGGGACCCCCAGGCGCGCATCAGGAGCATCAGCGGCTCCCGGGGCGGGACCGCGGGGGGGCATCAGGAGCATGATGCCCCCCAAAGGGCGGGCATAAGCGACGTGTCTAAGCCCGGGGCTAGGAAAAAGGGAGTTTAGGGGCCTTATAAAGTGCTTAGAAACGTTAAGGGAGTCTCGGAGCCTCAAACGCTTAGAGATTTGAAGGGAGTTTAGGGGCCTGAAAATGCTTAGAAACTTAACGCTTAGAGATTTTAAGGGAGTTTAGGGGCCTCAACATGCTTAGAAACTGCTCGCCCCGGGCTTCTGCGTGCGCTGCCCGCCCATGGGCGCAGCCCCTTAAAATCGGGCAGCGCGAGGTCCCCAAAGGACCGAGCAAATGCGGACCTTTTAGCCCGGGTCGTCCCGGGAATAGCCTTGCTGGCCTCTGGCCTTCTGCGAAGCAGAATTAGGCCGGACGCCAGTGCCGCCGACCCCCGCGTGCCGCCGGTGAACGGTTTTTTTTTCGTGGTTTTTTGCGTCGCCACGGAGGCCCCCAGAGGGCGCGCATCATGAGCATCAGCGGGTCCAGCCCGGGACCCCCAGGCGCGCATCAGGAGCATCAGCGGCTCCCGGGGCGGGACCCCGGGGGCGCATCAGGAGCATGATGCCCCCCAGAGGGCGGGCATAAGCGATATGTCTAAGCCCGGGGTTAGGAAAAGGGGAGTTTTTAGAGATTAGGGGCCTCAAAATGCTTAGAAACTGCTCGCCCCGCGCTTCTGCCTGCGCTGCCCGCCCATGGGCGCAGCCCCTTAAAATATATTAGTCTTCCATGAATATATTAGTCTTCCAGGAATAATATAATATTCGATTATTGCATTAGTACATATTTCTTTTGCATTTGTTATTGTTATATTACTGATATTCTGTACTTTTTTATGATTACATGAATACACGGTTATTTTTAACATTCTATTTTTCTGGTTTTTTTACTGGTGGGGCTTGGCCAACCATGTGTGCTTGGAAGTCCAGGCGCTGGAAGTCCGGCACTGTGGGATACAGTGGTGGTCCCGCTGCAGCCAGGCCGAGCCATGCAATGCGAGCCATGGGTCTCACGCTCAGTCATAGCTCCCTGTTAAGGCAAGAATGAGGAGAGTTGAGCGGTTGAGGAAGTGGCAGGGTGGGAGAACATGCAGAATGCAGTGCCAGCCCTGTTTCAGATATGTTGAACAAGAAAATCCATGTTAAGCGTAATCTCACTTGCCCACTAGCGAGTACTTGTAACATTGTTTGGTCGTCTTTGTAACATGGCTTCCACTCTGCACCACAAGCGGCTGAGAGCGTTCGAACTATCCCGCTAATAATCATTCTCGGACATTATGCTGCATGCGGTTATGCGAAGCTCTTTGCGGTTGGGTCTTGCGGTCTTGCAACAAATTTGGGGGTGTGACCCTCCGCGTTATCTTCCAAGCCCTCTTTCGAAGCCCTCATCGTTTCGCGCAAGTGCACGAGCCAAGGCAGGGGTCCATATGGGTCCATCCATGTACATCTACAAGGAGGCCTGGCGAACTATCCAACAAGCTTTTCTAGCAACGCGTTGCTTGTGTTCACTGCACGGGTGCTGAGCTGTTCTCTGTGCTCTGGCTGAGCGCTGCGATGAATGCATCATTCCTTGAATATCAAGAGGGCGGCTGGGGTCACGCTCAAAACATTTTGTTGAAGCTACAGTGCGTTGTTCAGGCTTTCGAGGGAGGTGAGGATTTCCTGCGCCGAGATGAATGAAGGGTTATCATGAGTTTGCAGGGCTCTGTGAGCGGAGGTACAGCTTGGACCTCTGTCGTGTCATTCTCCCAATGAGGCAGGTGTGTAACGACAATAAGAAAACGAAGGGGACCGTGCCAAAGAATCCAGGAACCGCTAGTTCATCAGAAACAAGGCGTTTCACTCACATGCTGTGTCGAGGCTGCGTTCAGAGTCCTGCAAGGAAAGCCTCACAAAGGACAAGTACCTGAACAACAGCGCACGGGAACTGAACCAAGAACACAGGACCAAAGCCCAAAGCTCCAATGTTGTGCTTACCCTTCTTGTGCTTCTTTTCTTCTCGGCTCGGGCAGGGTCCGAATCACCGAGCCGACCAGGCAAGCGCCTCTTGCGAGGGCCCCAAAGACCGGGCCTCGGGATTTTCAACTTTGCAACAAAGCGCCTTTTCAGAAGGTCGAAGATGTGATGAGAAGTGCCCTCCAGTCACTAACCACACTAACCGCGCTAGTCTGTGCCGCCCAGCCGCTGCCTGCTCCAGAAATCCAAGAGTCGAAGGCTCCACGGTACCCAGTCGTGGAACATTCTGACGGATTTGCGAGATGTCGTTCATCGTGGTCATGCGGCATGTGGCAAAGGCGAGTCTAAGTAAGGTCGTGCAGGAGGCCGCTACCATGATGATTGTTGCTGCTGTCCGCTCGGTTTCGGAACTAAGTATCAGGTATGGGCATGGCTATCCGGCTATCTGCCAAGGCCCATTGACAGTGACACAGTTTGTTGATTCCGTGTCTCTGGTGGCCGGAAATGCCTCGCCTGGGCAACATGTTGTGTAGACCCCGTGACCCACCAGCCTGATGAGGTGCATCCCCAGGACAGGAGCTCCACCTCACTGTGAGGCTCTGAAGGATGCTTGAAGGATGCATCAGGGCGCGCCCGTCATGGTCAATCTCAAGCGCCCCGCTTTTTGTCCACTTCTTGCTTCTTCTGACACTTCTTTGGGTTCAAGGTGGTCTTTCTGCAGGATTGTTGGGGGAAGGTCTGTCAATCCGTCCACCTTACGTGTCATGATGCTTTCAGGCCCGAACTCCAATCGCTAGCGCCCCGCATTGAAGGAGAACAGAGGAACCACAAGCCACGCACCCTACATTTGCTTTGTATTGCAGGAGAACACTGTTGCGGTTTAGGGTTTATTAAGGTTTAGGGTTTAGGGTTCTGGGTTTTAGCGCTTAGGGTTACTGATTTTGTTGAATTTGTTTGAATTTCCCTTAACATCTCCTGGAACTTCCGGCAGCCCCGAGATTCAAGACAGGCGACAGGGATAGAGCCGGAGCATCGCAGCCTGTGCCGGGCATCCAGAGTCAACAGGTCCAAAGGCCGGAACATGCATTTTGAGTGTCTTATGGGGGGATGTAATTGAGTTGGGGAGGGGAGTTGGGGGGGGGGGAGCGCTCCTGCTCCGCAGCAGCCTTGGCGCTGTGGACCCACAGCTGAGCAATCTCAAGGCTAAAGGTTGGCGGATGGAGCCAAGTCCTCGGTCTTAAGTCAGCTTTGGGTCTTTTGATTGCCTTCCTCTGAAACTTCTCTCAGCTGGACTTTAGGGCGCCCTGCCAGGCGCTGGTCAGTGGAGCATCTCACCCTATTTCCGAGTCTTGCAGGCCAGCCTGTGACTCCTTTGATTTGCTGGGCAGCTTACAACTCTGTTGTGCTGCCAGGCGTCGCAAAGAAGTGGGTGAACAATTCCGCGACGCTTGGGCAGAAGATGAACGCCTGCGTGGGATCGACGAGGCCCGGATGTTCGCGGTCATCCCAGACCGACGGTGTCAGCACATATCCTCCCTTTCCTTGGCCACTCTAAGCTCCTTGACATGGGGGGGCTTTCGGTCTTAAGAAAAGAATTCGCCTCGGCTTCCTGCCGAGAAGCCTTGCAACAAGCAGACACCGGTCTCCTTCCCCCCAACCCACCTGTGCCAGATTTTGTGACGGACCCCCCCACCCTGTGGGACGCAGACAAAACTTCCCCCCCCATCGCTTGGAGGAGCTGCAAACCGATGCCGCTCCACAAAGCACGAATTTGGCTGTTTTGGTACCCCCCCGAAACCCCCGCCGGACCCTGCGACCCCTCTTTCCACCTTTCCTGTCCGTGGGCAGGCCCGGCTGTATAGGCGGCACTCGCAAGCTTTTACAACTCAATCGTGCTGGGTCGGGGCCAGGACATCACTCACTGTTATCTTTAACTCCCCCCCCAACGGGAACTAGCCTGTATTTCCTGCAGGGTCGACGTGATTGCAGCAATCCGCAATCTCTTCGCCCGTGCAATCCTTTTTAGGGTAGGGTAGGGGTGATGCCAGGAGATTGAAAAGTCCCCACTGCCATCAAGTTTCTGGTCACGTCCACGAGCGTGGACACAAAGTTGGGCAGAACAGGCTCGTGGGCCCACCGTCCCAGAATGGGAGCAAAAAGATCCGCATGCTGCTTGGACATCTCTTCCATGGACGTGCCTTCAGGGATATTCAAGCTTGTGCCCCAAATCCCTTGGCCGAAGTAACCCCGAGAAGAAACAAATGAACAACCCCTTTTTACCCAAATCCTGGGCCGCCTTCACCGCGGTAGCACAAGTGGGTTGGATCGAGGGGCCACAGTCGGCGTACCAGAGCCTCCGCCACAGAGGACCTTTCAACTCTCAAGGGGCACGCAGTCTTAACATGTTTCGCTACAGCTTGACCATTTTGAGGTGGCTTCGTCGGGGTAGGGTCAAGTCGGACCTCTCGGCGTCAAAGCTCGACGTCTAGCAGACGTCAGACCCGGGTAAATGCGCCCAGGCGCCATTGCGCTTGGCGCATCTTTTTTAGAGCGAAGACCTGCACAGGAAAGACGCTCTCGCTGGGGTAGGTGGCCACGGCGCGGGAGCGGCCCACCTCAGGGAGGCGCTTTCCCGCTCTGTTTTTTTTGCTCGTGAGCTCTTCCTAGCTCCCTGGCCTCGAAGGGCATCCCCATGTTCCTCGTGCTAAGAGTTGCGGACTGCATACTTCTGGGTCCCCTTGTCCCCATGTCTTATGTGGCTCAAGGTTAGACTAATTTAGAGTATTTTGGTTCGGCGGACAGCTTTGACAGCAGCAGCTTGCCACAGCAGGAACTAATGAGACCCGAGAGCATCGGCTTGGCTCACGGCTTGAGGCTCGCGAGAACGCTACATCATCCCACCAAATGCTTAGCCCGCACCTCTCTCTCTCTCTCCCTTCCCAAGGAACGCCTTCTGCAGGTGCTCGTCCAACAACTTGGCAGGATCTGCAAAGAACAGGAAGTCCCCAGCATCAGTCCAGATGAGATGTTCCGGCTCTTCGCTGAAAATTTCCTCATCGGTTCTTGTCGGGATCCAGACATGCCCACAACGGATCAGAAGATTCGTGGGACGTGTGGCCGTGAACGCTTCCAGGCTGAACCGAACCCCTCAAACCCCCCCCCGCACCCCCACGTGCTCCTGCGGAAAGAGCCTCATCCAGCCCGGCGAACCGTACCTCAGGCTGCGCTGGGACACCACAAGGCAGCATTAAGATAGATGCAACAGCATAACCATCGAACTGACATGCCCAGCCTCTGCTTAAACAGCTTAAGCATCCTAACGTAAGTTGCTACCGGCAAGGCATGGCAAGGCTGCCGAACCTTTGTGCCTTGGACTGCTCGGTGCCGGCAAGGCGCTCGCCCTTCCATGAGCCAACGCCCTCCAGACACTTTTCAGGCACTCTGGCATGGAGCACCTTCGAGATGCGGTCAAACCTTGCGTGTTTCGGCATCTGCACGGGGTCTCCAGCACTACAAGGGTGTAGCACATACTTTTTTGATAGTAAAGCTGGAGCACTAGGCTGAGACGACCTCATGCTCACGATCCAGGGATGTTTGGGATTTGGGGTGCGGTGCTTAGGAAGAAGGCTGCAGAGTTTGAAGGGATTGTTCTGAGTGTACTTGGAAGAGCCGACTACGGGGTTTCAGGCTTGCGGCGGGCTGAAGCCCTGAGCCCTGAGCCCCTAGCTGCCACGTGGCTCTGTCGGGCCCCACCAGGTGATCTGGGCAATCTTCTTGTGCAGTTCCTCACTGTATGGAAACCGAGATAAGCTGAGGCTTTAGCACCAGCTCGCGGACTGGGGAAGCTTCTGATAGACTGGAGCTTGGCCTACGGACCAGGAGGTGTGACACATCATGACAGGTGTTCGTCTAGAATGAGAATCGGGAAGAGCAAGTGCTCAAGCCGTCCTCCCTTCAGAAATTCCTGCATTCCATTGGCTTCGCCAAGTGTCGGGCTCCAGCCAGTCACGAAGCACGGACTCCGTGTCTTCGCGACCTGCCTGCAGGGTGCTTGCATGTATGCCTTCCAGAACCGATGCATGGGAACGGGAGGCCGCGCTAAAACTCGCCGTGCCGCAGCAACCATGCAGCTTTCGGGCTTTGGTTCTTTTGGGGGGGGTGCGCAGTCGCGTTTGCAAGAGTGTCCGTACAAACCTTTGCCAAGTGTTTTCGAGGATGCACAAAGAGAAAAAAACGTGCCTGCGTCTGATACATGTGGCACTTGGCTTTGGGATGGGCGTTGGCTCTCTGGCTCACTGGCTTGGCTACAGCAAGGGGGTGGTGGAGGGGGCAGCCCCCCATGCCCAAGTGCCTTTCACTGGATTCACAGAAGGCTTGTCTGACACTTTGTTAATGGAAAGGGTACGGTTGGGTTGGCTTTGGTTGGGACGACGCAGACGCTCCAAGAAGCGTGCAAAATGGCTTGGCTTTGGCTGGGCTTTGCTGTGGCGGTATGTGGCGGGGCTTGCGGACGCAGCCCCCTTCAGCTTGCAACTCTGGGTTTCGGGCTGAAAGTGTGGCTTTGCAGATTGCAGTTGGCAAAGCGGCCGGGCAAAGTTCTGGGCATCAGAAGGGTGCTTACTGTTTGGAAATTCAACTGCACATGTTCGCCCAGAACCGTCCGGCCAAAAGGTGCCTGGTCCACAAAGAAGTGAAAATGAAGAGGCTTCTCCTCGCGCTTGGGGCTGGGATTTGATGCAGGCCACATCGTCAAAAGCATGCGGCTGAAGGGCTTCGGAGGTTTCTGGTGTGAAGATGTGTGAAGCATGAAGGGGAAGGCACAGGTCGTCAAGTCGTAAGAACGTCAAGCCGGTTTCGAAAGTGTAGGGAAGAAAGGATTAAGGTCAAGCTCAGGCATGAGCTACATCGAAGACGTCGGTCCTTCGCATGGAACAGAGCTGACCGAATTGTCGCCAGGGATCGTCCTTCCAAGAATTCCGGCGAGCCTTCATATATTGGGCCTTCATTAAACCCGACAACCCGAACACAGTACCCGAACACAGCTACCTCCACAGTTTTAGACTAGGATGTAAGGTACACGCATCCTGTTGCAGTGGGTATCCCGGTATCCCTTTTGTACTCTGAGGTTACAAAGCTGACATGGCCGTATTGACATTCACTGGTGAAGGTGGACCCAAGGCTTGTCACAATCAAAGCTGTAACCCTCAGTGCGATCTAGGCTCGTCCATTTACTGGTTCACCAATCGACGTGATCATGGCAATGTGCACCTGATCGTTGCTTCGACTCCTGTTGCGTTACGCCATTCTTCTTGCAACCTCCGGCTAACAGCTAAACTTTTGGGTTTAAGACTGCAATGCTTCCCTAATTCGGCTGACGTGCAGCTCAGTGACTCGAGACAACCCAGACAAACGGATGCTGGAGATGTTGAGGACAGGCGGCTTTCTTTGAAGTCTCCAAGAAGTGTGAGTGAAGCCGGAGCCCATGTGTACGCTCGCACACACTCGGACACCCTCTCTGGACCCCAACATGCCAGCATTCTTTGCCGGCAAGTATCTGGCTCCCCGTCTGGTGGAGCGACCAAACGGCTAGGATGAAGCTTCCGGCGCGCGACTCGCTTGAGCCTCCTCCCAGCGTCAGCACGGCTTAGATTCTGACGCTTGCAGGGGTTCAGATCTCAGTCCGATCCAGTCGTTTCGGCCTCGGTCTCTGAGTATTGCAAGGATATGGAGGAAGGCGGTGGAGCGAGAGACAGCAAGGGACAGCGAGAGAGAGAGAGAGGGAGCGAGAGAGAGAACGAACCGGGGTGAGGGGGCACGTGCAGGCCCGGTACACCACCATCACCCCCACGACCGCCACCACCACCAGTACCATCGGCAAAGAACTTTGAACCCACATGCCCTTGCTTCTACAGCGATGACCATGACGATGACAAACAGACCACGAGGACGACCAACGCCAAGCATTGCTTCGACATGATATGCCCTGAATGTACGACTTCGTAGGCTTCTAAGACTACGGCGACTACGATGCCAACGACCGTTGCTTCCGCCACGGCGACGGCTAATACGACTATGATGACAAGCTCTGCTCCACTGCCGATTTCCGAAGCCCCAAACTGCAACATGCAAACAGCCTGCTATCAAGCTCCTGTCACAAGAGTCATCTGCTGCTCAACTTTTAAAGCTGACCACCAAGAGTTTGCGCAAACAGGTCGCATGTTCCTTCGGCACTGGATTTGATTGCAAGCTGCTGTCCTCGATTGCTTCTTGGAGCTGAGCTGATGCTGGTCCAAGGCGTACTTGAGGCTAAGTTCGGCAAGACGCATGGAGCTGTGTAGAGGAAGGACTACTTTGACGGCCTTCAAGAGTCAAGTTCAGAAGCTGCGAAGGGCAGGCGTGTCTCGCGATGTTAGAGAGGTCAAAACTTATCACAAATATTTCCATCATGTACTAAATTGCGGGCTTATTTCCAGTCAGTACAGTATGCTATCTCTTTTTCAAGCGAGGAGGGTTCAAAACGACCGGATCCGTGACTGATGCCGCTGATTTTTTTGGCCTCAAGAACAGAAATGAGGGAACTTTGCCCTCGAAAAAAGCACGATCACTGTGGACTAGTCATCTGCCATCAGCAAGCGAAGAACATCTTGGTGGCCCTTCTTCGATGCTATCTGCAGTGGTAACGCCCTTGTATCTGTTCTGGCCAGGGTCTTGTCAGCTTTAGCCTCAAGAAGCATCCGCACGACCTCGACATGACCACTATGCGCGGCAATGTACAGCGGCGTTGCTCCCGTGGTTGGCATGACATGATTCTTCTCAGCACCTGCTTCAATCAGCAAGCGGACAACCTCACAATGACCTTTCTGCGCCGCAATGTACAACGGCGACGTCCCATGTTTGGTTGTCGCATGGTTCTTGTCAGCACCTGCTTCCAGCAGCAGGCGCACAACCTCGAGATAGCCATGCTGAGCTGCAATAAACAAAGGTGATGCTCCACTACTAGCTGTGGCTTGGTTTTGGTCAGCACCTGCGTTAATCAGTACGCGCACCACTTCGACCTGTCCATTCAGAGCTGCAATGTAGATTGGCGATGCTCCGTCGTCTGTTCTGGCCAGGTTCTTGTCTGCGCCAGCGTCAATCAGTAGTCGGACCACTTCAATGTGGCTTGCCTGAGCTGCAACACACAATGGTGATGCCCCACTGTCTCTTCTGGCCTGGTTCTGGTTAGCACCAGCATCGATGAGCAAGCGTACCACTTCAACATGACCACCGTGAGCTGCAATGTACAATGGCGTTGCTCCATTTGTTTGTATAGCCTGGTCTTTGTCGGCCGCTGCTTCAATCAACAAACGCACGATCTCAAGATGGCCTTTCTGAGCTGCAATGTACAACGGTGATGCGCCGTGGTGTTTGGTTTCCTGGGCTTTGTCGGCTTTCGCTTCAATCAACATGCGAACAATCTCAAGATGGCCTCTTTGGGAGGCCACATACAGTGGTGATGCCTCGTTGTTGGTAGCCACCTGATTCCAATCAGCCTTCGCCTCAATCAGCAACTTGGTGACCTCAGGATGACCACGGTTGGCTGCCAGCCACAAGGGTGTCTCACCTCCAGCATTTCCCAGATTTTGGTCTGCCGCTGCTTCAAGCAGCAGTCGGAGAGCTTCAACATGTCCATTCTCCGCAGCATGGTGCCTGGGATTAACTGCTCTGGAAGATCAACACATCTTCTCCAAACATAGAAACAAATCGCATCCAAGCAAGTCTGGACTATTTAACTTGCCATCTACTGTAAAGACCCTTTGCGGTCAACTGCTGGTTCTCAATGAAACAACAGCGGCTGCACCGTTGTCTCCAGGGTGCAAGGGAGCTCTTCCGAGGTCGTCTTTTAGATCAGGACTTCGCGGAAGTGACAACAGCCGCTCCAGCAGCTGAAGATCGTTCGAGCGACAGGCCAAACACAGATCCTGGCTTCAGGGGTGGGATTCCTGGACCAAACGGAAAAATGATGACAAATAAATGGCAACTTTGTGGGAGCAGAATATAGAAAAACAACAACCGACTAAAAAGACCATAAAGTCACTATACTATACTGTCTGGTCTTATGCATTTTACGTCCATGACATCTCAATCTTTGACGATTTTATGCAGGCTTTTGAACACGAGTTGCACCTTTCCAATGCACGTTCTCAGTCCTGATCTGGGTCACCTGCTCGCTCAAAATCCAGAATAACCAATTGGACCCTGGATGCACAAACCTCGCCCTCAATCTCAGAGCCATCGTCCAGCAGCAAACGTTGCCGAAATCGGGGAACCCCCAACCGAAGGGCCAGAGCTTGTTTCACAGCCTTTGCTGATTTCTCTTCAACGGCATCCAGAAACGCCAAAGTTTCTCCAGAGACGGCAGAACACACCTCCATGAGAAAGCTTGCGGTGCCAGGATTAGCACATTGATCTGATTGATTGGCACCGAAGATCGACTCGAACTAAAGGTTCCGGCTAGAAGTAACAATCTAATTGCATCTTAGAATACCTCATGTTGATTCTGGTTCTTGCATGGACCCCTTTGCAAGCTGCTGGCTCGAACGCTGCGGCTGTGCATGTCAACGGGTGAAGCTAGTGAACCGAATCAAAATCGACATCAGGATGAATCTGAACAAGCATTTTACTGCAAATAAACTTTCTTCTGACGTAAGAGTCAAATTCAGAGGCAGGGTTTTGGGAACCCGGTTGGGGAGGCCAATGTATAGATCACCTGCGTTTAAAGAGTCATTTCGTGCACGTTGGGGCTTGGGACTAGGAAAAAAGGCACTCTGGAAACCAAGAGATTCAGAAAGTAAGCTGAGTGCAAGATCGCAGGCCAGATGAAGCCAAGGGTCATGTCGAGGGCCATGGTGCTCTGCATGGCGCTTGCTCCGGCAAAGCCTCAAAGCAAAGGGACACACTCCGGCGAACAATAGCATCCCGGGAGGGCCCTCCTGCCACATCAGCCTGATCACAGTAAGGGGGACAATCATGCAGAGCCCACTCAAGCCTCACCAACACCCCTTTGCAGGCACATCGCCATGAACAACTTGGCGTCACCACAGCACAAACCCCAAGGCCTCAAAGACAGTTCCGATTCAATCTTGACCATTTGGGCCATGACCTGCCAAAAAGTCCAGTGCCACCCTTGTTTTCATGAACTCCCCAACACCCAACAAACGCTGAGACCCTGCAAGTCCACCGTCTCAAACATCGCAAGACCCGAAGAGCTTCGGCCAAGAAGCTCAAGAGCAGGTGCTCCAGAATACGGAGGCCCTGGTATGATGGGTAGCTTCACAAACGTCTGAAGGGCATCTGAGCCGAGCTACAGTGGCTAAGGTTCCAAGTTCAATCCAAGGCTTGAAGTGTTAAAAAAGGTACCCTTTCGGTGGATCAACAGGAATCAAAAGGCTGCACAGAAATCTTACAAACCCGACAGTGTTCACTACCTGCTTCCCCTCCGTGACCGTGCGATGAGGGTTTCGCCAGTGCCTGCAGTGCCTTTGTCACGGTTGACCAGTTTACCGGTGAGCAACTCGAAACGGTTGGTACCGGGTAGCCAGTGAAAGAGCCGCATCGTCTAAGTTCTTACCTGTGAATCACAATTCGCTTCGTGCCGCCTTCGACAGAGCTGTCACTGCCCGTAATGTCCAGAATGCCCATTCTGCCCATACTCCCTATCATCAATGCGCACAAACAGTTGCCAAGGGACACCTCGCTGGTTCTCCTCCACGCAATCCAGAGCCATGGCACCAGCCACGGCATGCTCGCTTCGATTGCTCCAGTGGGCTGACCTGGATGTGTTTGGCTTCTCGGCTTTTCAGAAGTCTGAAGCTTCAATAACTGAGGGTCTGGCTTCTAGAATTGGAGTGGAAAGGCAGGCCAACAATAACAATCGAAAGATCAGGCTGCTTGCATGTCAAAGGACCGGTTTCCTGCGCCCCAGCGCTTGGCAATGTGCCAGAACCGATTCCGAGTGGACACTTTCAGATCGCCAGCTATGTGCTCCACTTCCTGCAAGTAGGACTTCTCACAGCCGCAGTTGAAGCTGGCCTGGACTCTGCATCAAATAAGGAGAGCACTGCACTGCGACTGAATTGAAGAGATTTGAAGAGTATAGCGGATTTGATGCGTCCCCTGAACAGAACTGTCCACGGCTTCCTGGCTCCAAAAGCAACGCGGCCTCCCCGTGGCAGCTGCACTGCAAAAGGCAGACGGCCAGGCGGACAGCCGCTTGCAGGACACGGCCGTGATCCCACGCACCCTGGGAGGCGATTGTTCCACCGTTGCGATTCTGCCATGGGCGTAAATTTTTCACGTCCCTGAAACTGCCCTCTCTCACCTTGATCACAAAGGTTGTAACAAAGGTGTTACATGGTGTTGCGGTTCCAAAGGCTTGAGTTGTACATCCAAGTTCTCGGGGTCTGTCCCACCTTACAGTTCCGGACATGGACAGCGAAACAAAAAGGCACAGGGGTGGCCAGCACTAATCAGCACGAAGCCCTAAGAGCCGAAGAGTAGCAGGGCCCTGAAGTGGTAGCAGGCCGGAAGCGCTCTCGGACTGAGGAGTGAGGAAGAAGACGCTAAACCCGAAAGCGAGTGGAAAGTGGAAAGTGTAACGCCGGGACATGGGAAAAGAACAACCACACCGACGAATTCGGGTCTCTGACCTTGGGAACGTCGCATAAATGATGATTTGATGCTGAATCTTGCCCTCCCTAGCAAATTGGGCTTGCTGTGCGGAACCAGGAGATGGATTCGCTGGTCTTGCTGCTTCCAAAACCAGGGGTTAGGGGGCTAGGGAAATGCCACTCACATGTAATTGATAGGGTTCGCCTCCAAGACGGCTGCGCATACAAGGTTTGAAATGCAGCCACTTGTCTCACATAAATCCAGAGACACGTGTTCATGTTCGTTGCCATGTTTGGGGCTCGGGTTTTCGGAGTCTGCCGCCACCGGAATGGATACTACCAGTATTTTACTGATCAGAGCACTGCTGGTGCTGAGTCGTTCTTGCAGCGCCTTGCCATCATCACAGCAGTGCTTCTGGGCATAGGAGAGCCCTTCTGGCGTCTGCAGGCGGAAGCACAGGGAGTCTGGCGAGGCCTTGGATCTGTGAGCTTTTGTCAGCTTTGAGGGCTCGAAGGGCCCTTCATGGCTCTTGCAATATGTTGCTCCATATTCAGAGACTTTACAAACTGGTTCTTACCACGAACATGCTGTGGGCCTTCGCCCTTTGCAACGCATCGTGGGTGAGCGAAGCACATTGCCCACCGGCCAACCCGCCAACCCTTCAAGATCGCCACACGAAAAAGCCTTTGTGGGGGGAGCGCCGAGTGGCAGGTCACCCCTTCAAGACCCTTCTGTGTCATCGTGCCTACGAAGGTTACTAAAGATGTGTCGGAGTGTGGTTGGAGCGCTTGGAAACCCTATGCAACTGGAAGCGCCATGTGGTTCATGCCCCGCAGCCCGGGCGCCTTCTGTTTCAATGTTTGCGGCCAAAAGGCATGGCAGCATCGGTCGAAGTCCCACTCCTTCCGGAGGCGGCACCGCAGTGGGACGCTGCTTGGCGCGTCGATGAGCCGCTGAACTTCCGTGTTGGCAGATGCTTCGAGCAGGACGGGAGCCAAGAGCTGGCCAAGCTTCATCTGGCTGGTCCTCTGTTATGCCAGAAGGGCTTTCTTCGCAGCTTTCCAGCTTTCGGTAAGACACAACTTAACAAAAAAGGGAAACTTGGCTGTTAACAACTTCAGCTGGCAGATACGGAGCACAGGAAGGCGGGTGTGAAAGAGCTGGCAGCGGACATGGCTCGCACCGGAGGGGTAAACGGGTGAAGTCCTGGGGCCTTTCGCAGTTCAGTCTTTCAGGGTTCGGGGGGCGTGGTGTTTGGGTATCTACGGCTTGAATGCGGCTGATGTGGCTGCGACAGCAGCAAGTTGCGGAATGGGAAGCTCATCGGAGGTCCATGCAGTGCCACCTGCACGCTGAATGCTGATGCTCCGTCCGAGATCACAGTCACCTCAGAAACGCTGCAAGCCAAGAGGCCCACCCATCCGCCCGTGCGTCGCGCAAGTCAATCCGGTAGTAACAACCCGACGTCTCCACCCCGGGCCCCAAGCTTTGCACACTGTTTTCGACAGCACCTGCGATTTCTCCGAAGTCCACCAGTGAGAGCTGTTCGCACTTGTAGCCTCTCGATCCTCTCGGCATCTCTGGGCACCCCAAACAAACGAAGCAATATCAAAAGGAACTTTGTCGGAGGGTCCTTATGGCAGGCCGCTGAAGGTCTTGGTTCCCACATGCCCCTGGAAAACTTCACGCAAATCGCATTTGACATTCAGGGCCGCCTCACATAAAGCCACAGAGATGCGACCCAGCAGTCGTACGCCGACCGGCATCAAATTCAGATGCACTTGAATTTGGCAAGCGCCGTAGGTGCACGGAATTAGCTAAACTATTTGGGGCATCTATTTAGCTCTGGGGCTTGGAGCAAGTGCGGCAACAAGTGTCAGATCCATTTTGCCTCTGCTCCAATGCAACTGGTGCAACTCTCAGCACGTCTGTCATGACCTGTATTACAACAGTAAGCAGATCGGCTCTTAGGGTCCATGAACTTACACCCCGAAAGTGTTCAAAACAACGAATTACGTTTCTCTCAGGCCTCTTTGGCCATGATCATGGACAGAGTCGCCTCACAAAGCATCCTCCTCCGGCTGCACGCGTTTCTCTGGGTATCTCTGGGTATCTCTATGCAGGGCGCCTGATTCAGCGGTCCTGAACACCCCAAAACACCTCACATCACCTCATTATTCTGCATGCAGACGCTCAATGTCACCCCTCTTTTGGGCAGGGAATCAAAAGAACTGCGCGGGACAGATCATTTGGTATCCTGGGTGTTCTGGGCCACGCAGGGATTCGGGTACATGAAACGCAAGACAAGGAAATGACGTCCTGCTGATTTAGAACCGCAGGTGGCAGACGGACGGCAGTCAGACACAGCTTCTCCGGACTTTCACAGCAAACTATCTTGAGATCTCGGGGACAACACCACGTGAGCATGAACCCGCACCCGAAGACATGAATGCATTGAAGGACGGAAACCCTGGTGGCATCTCCTGAGGTTCGTCACCTTCGGGCATGTCGGGGAGCATCGGAGTCATGCCTGAGGAACTCTGGACGAATAATTTTGACTTTTGCTTCTGTTGCGTCGGCAAGCTAAGGGCTGTGGCATCTCGACCCCATGCAAAGCATTGACTCTTCCAAACCCCGCAAATCAGTGAAGCTTTCCCGACCCCAGCACGTGCCGTGGCCCCAGCTCTTGCCCTGCAGCATCCCGTAAAGCTGGTAGCGCGTCTTGTACTCGGGATGATCCAGCGAGATGGACCTCGTGCTGGTTGCTCACAGTCCACCTATTTATCTATTTGGAGAGAACGTGAGCGGCTTGGGCAGACAGGAATCGGGCAAAAGCTGGGGATGCTTTAGACCAGCAGGGAGTGAAGGCCACCCAAAGCACCAGAGGAAACGGAGGGACCAATGGACCACGGCTGTGAGCTGGAACACGTGGAGCTCTGGAGCACCAAAGACTCAGAAGGGTGTTCCCTGCCACGGACGAACATGCAGAAATGTTGGCAAAGCGGGGCAAAGTTAGTGAAGACCTTCCCTCAGCGGAACCTGGGCAACAAAAACAAATGAGAAGTGGGCACGCGCAAGCCTGAGAGGTTGAACTAAGGTTCTGTACGTGCACCTGCCCTTGCAACCTAGCAACGCGTAGCAACGCCATTCAAGGCCCCTCCCCGCAACCCTGACTCCCGGACGCCCTGACGTGAAACATGGTGCACCGGGTCTGAGAGCATGGCGTCGTGACACGGCAACAGTGCCGCAAGTTTTCCATTACCTTAGCAATCTGCCCAAGACTGGGCTCGTGTCTTGTTTACGAGGAAGTCTCCAAGATCAGGTATCAAACACGGTTTTGGGCACTTTTTCAAGGGAGTACTAGTACTAGAAAGGCCCTGGAAAGGCCATGCGCGCAAAACCCAAAGAAAACCTGCACTGCTTGTGCTGTGAGGTTAAACGGTGAAAGGCCAGAGCCTTGTTGTGCAAAAAACTGCTCCCATGCACGCCTTTTGGAATATTTGTTTAACAACAGCGCCGTTGGAAGTCCATGAAATGCCGAACTCATAAAACCCCAGCAGCCCAACACTTGCAACTGTCCCAAGCCCGTGGCATCCTAAAACCAACCCAAGAAATGCAAAAGTCCCAGGTCAGGGGCTCACGACTTCGACAAAGCATGCTCTGGCCCCGGACCAGCTGTCTATCAGGCAGGTGCTGATGGCCTCTATGAAAGGCCTCATCAGGGTAGGCTTCCGGGTTGCTGGCCTATGGAGGTGGGGGAGGGGGTTCAGACACCCAACCCCCAAGCAGCATCTGGTGCTCCCTAATTTGGAGGTTCCTGTATCATCACAGCCTGATACTGAAAACACCCCGCTCTTCGGGTTCTGCCGGAAGCTAGGTCTTTTTGCCCCTCTTCGAACTACAACTATAGAATTCCTACCTTAATCTAGGCAGCGTGGTGTTCGCTGAGGATGCTGGGGGTGGGGTGGGGGGGGGTTCGATACGATGCCTTCAAGCGACAAGCCAAGCATGCTAGCAGGACGGACGCCCAGGAGCCTCGATAACAACTTCGATGCGGCTACTAGAAGTGGAGGCTCAACAGTGTTTCGGATGATGAGAGTAGTTTGAGGGGGATTTTGCGGGTAGTCATCGGCACTGCGATCCTACCAGATGCTGCCGGCTGCTCGAACCCGGCCTGTGTGGAGTTGCGCTCCAGGGGCGGCCGCTTTCGTGTAGGCACCTGTACAGTGACCTGGCTCAATCCAGCCAACTGCTCAGCCGGCAAAGAGCTTGTATCACAGGTTGGGCCTCTGTGGGTAGTTGCTTAGCCATTCCCGTCCCAGCTCCTTTTCGGACAACAAACGCAAGATAAACTAACCATGCCGTTGACCTTCGGCGTCTTGGCGCACAACCGCACAACCACCACTTGTTTAGCAGTACTTTCCCTGCTTGCTTGGCAATGTCAGCTACAACTGCGGATCTGAGAGGTGGAGAGCATCGTACACTGGACGTGCAAAGCAGCGCTTCTCTTGCAAGGCCGTGATGTGCTGCTGCAGGGTCTTGGCACTCAAAACTGCAACTGGTCGAGCCATAAACAACTCAGCAGATGGTCGTCTTCCACTCTTTGTGCGCTTCCGAGTGATCTGCAACTTTAACTTTGCGAGCCTGCTGTCCAATGTCGTAGCCCTCAGGAATAGCGACTGTCATTTCCTGGTCCTGCAACGATGCTCTGCGCCGCGAGACGCAGGGCTTGGGCGTGGGATTTCTGACTTCTGAACCCTTCGCACAACGTGCACACCATATCTGTACATTCGTGTTCGTGTGCTATCCACGGTCCACGGGTCGATTTGCAACAGAGACCATTGCAAATCGGCCTAATTAGTCTCTAAGTAGCCTGAGCTAGTGAGTCCTCGTAGATGAAATTCACCTGAGCACCAGCTGCAGGCTTCACACTCATGTAAGCCGCGTGCTCTTCAATACAGATTGTAGCCGGCAGAGTTCATATCCTCGTAGAAGGGGGAGTGGCACAACGTTCAGAAGCAGGATTAGCGATCTGGAGGCAGGGATGTCGTCAACGGCAGCTGCCACTCAATTTGCATCCGAATACAGTGGACAAGGAAAAGTGACGGAAAGCGCTTGCGCTTGCGCCTGTCACCTACAGGGACCTTCACCTCAGCCCCGGGCCCTTCGCGTGGCATCCATGCCCTCTGGAACAATGAGCGTGACTTGCCTGAGACTGTCGCAGCGGCCTACTAGCTCGACACCCACACCTAGCTCAGCATGCGTCTCAGGCACTAAGCCTACTATGGGAGCTTTCTCTTGCTGTTGAACAAGCACCTCCACCCAAAGTCAGGCTTGCCAGTCTCGGAAAATTCAGCGACGTTCGATGTAGCACATGCTACAGTACGCGGCATTCTAAATTCGAAAGTTCCAGTGTTTCAATAAGTCTCTGACCTAGCTTCAAGTAACTTGTTTTTTTCGCCACCGACTTTTCAGTGGCACGTCCGACACTGTTTGCCAAGCAATTTGAACAGATGGGCCAGGCTGTGATTGTTATAGGATCCTCAACACCTCAATGGGACTTACTTACCACCGTGCCTGTGCAGTTCTTGCTGCTCAAGGTGGTACAGGATCGTCTCGTGGCGTGGCATCCCCTGCGTGGAAAAGCTTTGGAGGCAGGCACTGGGGCAGTGCGGTGCTCAGTCATGACTGCTAGCTACTCAGTTACCCGTAGCTTCGGGATTGGAGTCTTGAGTGTCGATCTTGCGTAGGATGCCCAACAGCGTCATTCAGCGGACCCACCACACCAACGTCCACATCCACAAGCTCCAACCACAATGCGTGAACACTTTGTCTCTTGACGCCTCTTGTCCGGGTAGGGGAGCCACATTGTCGAAGGACTCGCTAATGTCATCTGAGCTTCTCGAAACACGCAATGCAAAGGTTGCACTGCTTCGGAACATGCTTGGAAAAAACTCGCGTGTGAGAACCCTGCAAGTGTGCCAGCCATGGGGAGGCACTAAATTCGTGAATCTTC